TCTGTATATACAGTAAATAGCACGCTTTTTCTACACATGGTTGGCTCAGTATTGCAGTATATTATATCGGACACATAAAATCATACATCTTCTATGCATATAGTCAGCCATTTTCACCCACACCCCACCCTCAAGATACAACTCAAAGATATGCGTATTGATATTTCCAAACGTCCGCACTTGAATAGTCCATTCGGTGAGATCCTAGTAATAGTGATGGATTCTTCATTTACTGTTCATTATCCACGAGTTTATGAGTTTGTCAGTTATGGCTATTCTCACCGTTCTACATTCACATACGAAGCATCTATCAAGTAACTGCGTAAATGATGTCCTATCATGAAATATATCGCGTATTTTACGATGTAAAAAACCAGTGTCAGTTGGGCTGCGAAAATGATTGACTGCTCGAAAATATTCAAGGCGTCTGTGACCTTTTGTTAAGCTGCGAGGAACAATTTGATACGTACATGTGAAAGACGTTTTCTGAAATTATATTTATATGAACCTATCAGTGTGATGAATAAAATGATTTCGAGTGTACCCTATGTTCCTTAGTTGTAGATCGTCACGGAGCCTTTAAGGAAAAGTTGAGTAGGAAATCTGTTGCGTCAAATGCTTTTGCATTGATTTATCAATTGATTCCGTAGGAGCCTTTGTTGCTGAACCTTTGATCTAGTCTTTCAAGATGAGGTTTTACTCGAAATTCTCTTCCTACAAAACTAACAAAAGATCGCCTCCTATATTTAAGGAGAGATCTTTTTATTGGTTGGGAAGAACTCCATTTTTTACAGTGTAGAACCTATTCTTAATATATACATTTTCGATGTACAAGACGTGTTACGAACTGTGTCCAAGGTGTGTTTACAAACTGAAGCAAGATGAATCGATATCATGAAATAGTACCTCATTTCGAGCCCTGTTATATTCGTTGATATCATCGACTATCATTTCATCCTACCTTATTTTTAAAAAAACATTGATTTGTGTGCCTGTTGTTGTTCTTCTCCTTACTATTATCTCATCTGACTTCTTTTGTGTTTCCTATTGTGAATCCTAATACGGATACGGTAAAAACGAATGCTAACAAACAAAGCATATGATAAAAGTACCTTTTCATCAATTTCCATCTCTATTGAATTGAAATACGATGTATAATCATCGACCTTCTCTCTCATTCAATACTTTCGCTTTTTTTCTACCAATAGTGTATGCACATATCGCTATTTTTTTCTGTTCAGCTTTGAATAAATTCTCGTGTTCCTTGACCTCTCGATATTGAGCCACCGACTTACCGTACTACTCTCATCGCTCTTTTCCTTCGAAAAAACATAGTTCACTTGTCCCCATATACTGAGGTCACGTTTGACGATAGAAGCGAAAGAGAGGATAAATGAAATTTTTCTGGTGCTCGATCGAGAAGATTGCTGGATGAAAGATCAGTGTATTGGTAGCAATTACATTGAAACAGGAAAGAAGAATAGAATAGAATAGATTTATTCACTCTCTCACTCACTCATATCCAACTTAGTATCCTTCAGTTCATGCATAGAAGCACACCTTAAATCAAAAGAGAGCAATGATTAATCGACATCAACTCAGATATACTTACCTTTTCTTCTGGCTGTTTATTATCGAAATTCAAGCTGGTGTCCTCGATGACGCTATAATTATAAAAAATGCCAACACGACACCAATCTTTTTTCGCTGGTCACAAGGATTTGGAGTGAATGGTCGACAAATTCGTTGTGCTACAGATCAATCATCAGAAGACCCGTTTGGTCGTTTTCCTGAAGCTTACCCGGAAAGGAAAGGTTTGTAAGTAGGAATATCATTGGAGATCAATGTCTAGAATGATCACTGTATTGAAAATGCTTAGGAGCAAGCATAGATAGACTATCAAATGCGTAATCTGTAAGAGAAAAATCTGATTCTGTCTTGAATAAATAATGCCCTTTGAATAGCAATGTGATTAAAGCGTGTATCTCTTTCCGATACATGAAAAGCGATAAATAAACAATATCTCAATTTTCTTTTCGATAAATAGTTATCAAACACTTCAAATTTAGCTATACACACGGATGTTATGAATTATTGAATCAAGCAAAATTGTTGTAGATATCTCTCTTGTGGAGTCTTCTATGTTTCATGCAAGCGCATATAGTACGCCTTTCGAGAATGAATCTAACTAACGATCTACTCTTGTTTTCCTCCGCTAACGTTCCAGCTAATCAAGCGAGTAAATGGGTAATGTCTTGATGTATAACTGCATGCTCACTCGTGCTACTCGAAAACTAATGGTAGCCCAGCAGAGGCTAGTAAACTATGAAATTCTAACAACACACGAAGTTATTATTTATAGCCTCCTGTCAGTCAGGAATATAGCCGAGATTAAGGGGTCGCTTTTCGTCTGTCTAAAGTAGGTACGTTGATTTATTATCTATTTCATTCATAGATGATGTGTACTTTGCGCCCGCTCCTGGTGACAGGCCAAGTTCTTTTTGTAGCAGCAATTCTTCGCTATTCATGTACAATCCACAAACTCGTCGCGTACGTCTGGTCGGCAATGGTCATTGTCTCGTGGTAAATCAAATATCATATCATGATGACGCTAGTAAAGAGTATCCTGCAAATCGAATCTTAAAATCAGTTGATTGCAAACAAACAGCAGCGAATGAGTCAACAAGCAGTCTTATTTGGGGTAGTGAATTTCGTTTCGTTTCCGACAATAATAACAGGAGCAATATGGCACTCCGCTTTATTTCACCAACAGATGGACATGAATGGACTATCTACAATAAAGGTTATATGTTCATTGTGGCCGATATCATTCAGCAACGAGTAGATGATTTGATAGAGCCTTGGTTAGAGATCGTTAATAATTACATGTCCCATGACTAATGACGGATGACTTACGAATGCAACTGTGAAGATATGAATAGCTGTTGTTTCCAACTTTTTTGTTCTTGCTGATAGGTTTCGACTTTTCTATTGAAAGCTTTTTAGTATCGTCGTTTAGGATTTGACAAAGCTTCATTTATTTGTATCGATGCTCTGTTCTCTATAGACCTTCATACTATGTTTTTTTATTCGGATCTGTCTTTTCTTTTCACCAATCGTGTTATTTTAAATTCAGTTTCATGTTTACTTCATCGTCGTAGGACAATATTAGACATATTTTGTGTAGTATGTGTTTTCACTATTAAACTAAGCAGGCTGCTAATCACTCATTCGACCAGAAACTCGAGCAAGTTTTTGCATACAGACTCGTATGAATATCAGTCTTGATTACGTGTAAAACGTTACTTGAGCTTCACTTTGTACTCATGAATTTTTACCAGATGAGATATCATACATTTACTATGTTTTTCTAAGTCTAATCAACTCCTTTGTGTATCCTGTGCACTAGCCCGGAGTCGGAACCGAAGAAGTTTTTTTCATCCGATCTTGTCTTATCGTATCCAAGTCAGATTTGATATTCTGCCAGCTCTTCATACACTTCATTTCAACGAAATTTGTCGACTGATAAGCAGAATACTCTGAACGACAATCAATATCCATCCAGTCATGTACTCGTTTGGAATATCAGTTCATCTGAGCTGTGATACTGGCTCACTGAGTGAATCGGAAAAGAAAGCACTCATCGACGAAACTGTCCGGAAACTGTGACTTATTCTCACCAATCGATCAACAACAAACACTGATCAGATCGGATTCACTTATCAAGCGTTACAGACAGCACTGAACATCCTCTCGTCCTCCTCACACAGTTCGAGTTTAAATTTATTGTAAAATCTGCCACTAAAAACCACCAAGAAGAAGAAGAAGAAGGTGACGAACAAGAATATCGGATGGGGTCATATTGCACAATGAAGTATTGTTAATAATAGCAAGGAAAACGAGAGAAAATACTTGTCAGGAGCGTGATAATGCATGTGAGCTGTATTGAATCCAATTCGAAATATACAAGTAGCAAAAAAAAGTGTATCTTGAGAGTTTTATAATGTCTTTATAGATATAGTTTTGCTCGACATGGTAAGAGATATCATTCTTGAAGCAAGATTATTCTTTTGTTTTAAAATTCTTGTATGATTTTTGTGACGTTGTGAGGCTCTTTTTTGTATGGATACCATGCTTTGGCGAATTATCTTCATATTTATTCACGATTTGAATGATATACTGAAGAATAAATCCTAGAGCTCGAATACGCTATGAAGATCATATGTACAACATCTGGGTATAGATGCAAATTTGTTCACTTATTGTCGAATATAAACGAATGTTGGACAGGTGCAAGTGCGAAATGTGATCGACTACTACCGTAAAATAGTGTTAAAGGATTAATGAATGTAGAATAGTTGTACGCCAGTATTTATATAATGTATTCAACAAAACTATCACGTGTCTGAATCTGAGCTATACTGACAAATAACAATCGAAAGATATCGCACAACGATCTTTGCCGTTCCCCGATTAAACCTATTGTCATCCGAAATATAAGGTAGAGCGTTGAGTAGGATCTTTGTAGAATGTATAAGATTCGCTTCGAGTGAGTTGGAAAAGATTTGACACAAAGGCATGACTTGTGATGGACATTGTGTTGTTTAGCGGAGAAGAAATATATTGCAGTACGTGTGGTTGACAGATAAAGCTTTTTTCGTATGATCCTCCTTTCAGTTGATGGAGTTAATAAGAACTTATTTAGCCTGATGAAGAAATTCGAAAGTATTATTTATGAGAATATTATATTGTGGATGTTGATCTTATTTTTTCAACAGTTTCATGGATATTTATCGAAAGAAAAATGATTTTCAAGAACAAAGTTCTAATGAAAAACTTAAATGTGCAGTTGATAATCGTCTTAAACCATTTTCATATCGATTTTCTCTCATATGATGGACCAAAATAGAAATAAATTTCTTTTCCATTGATATTATTCGTTTCGAATTACGTTTTCTCCTTATCCAAATCACGGATTCAAACATCCTGATGAAATTAATTTTCTAATAGAAAATAATATTAAATATCAATGATGACACAAGAAGACGTTTATTTCTGTTCTGACTGAATTAAATTACGTCTGGGTTCACAACGTGAAGACTTTTTAATATTCTATTCATATATCAAAGAAAATACAAGATTAAATACAAGAACATTTTATGGTTATCCTCTTGATAATCGTCATTCAACATCAATATAGTTCGTACAGCAAATAACGGATGGATTATGCAAGAGAAATGAATCCGAATTTCTATATCAATGCTGGATTATTCACAGAAAACATCTGCATTGATAATTGTTGTATAAATCAAATTGAAATGAATTCAATCATAAGAGAATCATATCGTGCATTTAATCTATGTAAATTTGACTTCATCTTTGAGTCAACCAAATTCAATTGGTTCATTTTTTACAGTCACATGTTTTATCATTCTAATCACTAACAAAATTAACTTTACTATTTCATGATCAGACATATGATAATACATCATTAATTGAAAGAAGATCAGCTGAAAATCTTCTTCCACGTTCAGTCTGTGTTTCGATGATAAATTCCGCGATAGAATCGTATCATGTTTATGATGAACTAATTCCACATTATATTGATTTTGTTCATGAAACAAGATTTTACTCAAATAATGATTGACCAACTATCAAACGCCACCTTATTAATAACTCTCCATGATCCGGATAATCATCAGTCTGCATTATTAATTGCTCACACATCATTTTATCAATCAAATGAAAAATGGGAATATATAAGTTCATTGACCCTTGTACTATCAGCCCTTCTTTTTCAGTTTATACTACTCATAATAATGTCCAGTAACGATATTCACCTATGATAATCTTACGCATCTATAAATCAACCTTCAAAATGAAAAGACACCATTTCTAATGTCTTAAGTGTCCAACACACTATTGCCCCACTATATTCCCATACAGTCTCATTGACACGCATCATACACTCATACAGATTGCCACCCACACCCTTGTTGTTGTCCATATTAGATAATTTAGTTCTAAGAAGTGAAATGAATGTTTTAGATGTATCATTCATATGATGAGTAGATAAAAATAGCTAATTAATTTTAAAAAGTCGAAATTCTTTTAAAATCCGCGAGAAATATTTTTATTAATGAAATGATCCAACATTTCTTTCAGTTTACAACTGAAACGAGAAGAAAATATTAATGTCTACGTGATGTCATTTTATTAGTTTGCGACATTAAAGGAATTCCTATGTCAATGGATACAGGTAACACATCTTCTGCGATGTCAAGATTGGTTGGCCATTCAAGGCCAAGAGCATCAGCGACGAAATTACGCGAAAATTGTTGACAGTTAACTGATGAACTCCATCGTTCTCCGCTCCGCATTACCATTTGTCCATAAACACCAGCCGCCTTAAATGTGAGGTAAATCTATGAAATAAAACGGATAAGATGGAGGCTTTACCAGTAATGACAATAAATGCTGCTTTGAATGAGTATCTGTTTGTCGATTGATTACCAGTTTATGAACGTTAGCAGGAATCTAATATGTACATATATGTAGAGAATTGTTTTAAGATGAAGAATAAAGTGGGCATACTCACGACATGGTTTGATAAATATGCTGGTAAATCATAGTCATTAACATATTTACTGCATTCCAATTTGCCGAGAATAATACTGTCGACACTGTGTCGATC